TAACATTACGATGCATTTACCTTGTCTCCGGGGATATTTTTCGCCGACATGGTGTCTTGTCTTCTCGACCAATGATCCCACGTCGTCGTACGGACGATTTATCCAGAGAAAGGATCTCGCTGTTGCTGCGACAACCCAGCATACGACACAAAACACTGCACTAACCAATCACTCGGCCATTATCACTGGTCGAGCGGTGCTTTAAAGCCACAAACACAATAATCGAGCCATAGCTTGGCGTCGCAATCAACACGATTTCCCATTGATATTCATCGGTACAAATAATTTTTCACAACACTGCACACAAACACGACGACTGACAGGAGCTAACTTGATTGAGTTGAGCTTGACGGAAAATGGCGAGGGATGGTAGGTAAAGGCCCTCCCGTCTCTCACCCCGCGCATGCCTTCGTTGATTTAAATTGAAGCTGACTAAAGCCCATATTCCATAACAGAGGGCAGCACATACATTACTTCTTCAGAGGATGTTCTTATAACGCAGGTTTTCCTATAGATGGCACTAAAAGCAAATCAGAAATTAATTTGATTTTAATGCCCTACTTGACTATTCCTTAAATTAAATTAATTTCAAAATTAAAAGTACATGTATGTATATGTTAATGCGTACTTAGAACTACCGCGATTTTGTGTGAACTAAAAATAAAAAAAATATTCATTGTATTATTACATATTGCATAACAGCTGTTATATCTTGCTTATTTATATAGATAAATATGGTTTTAATAAAGTTATTTTCTTACTTTAAAAAAGTTATTTAACTAGTTATTATACGTTATTTTACTAGTCTGCAATCTGCATTTACACAGCATTTTTACTGTAAACTAATATAATTGGTACAATTATTCATTTAAAAATCAGTAGGTTTTATATAATAACATATTTAACTTAATGAAAAAGACAGATCTGGCTCATCGTAGGATTACTAAAATAATTGAACTTAATTGAAATAATTTTCATAGGCAAAAGAACACGTTTCGATAAAACGTGTGGCGGATGAAAACAACCGCCGCGTCTATTTTAAATTTAGCGCGCAAAAGCGCGCGACTCGCGGTTTGCAAACGAGTCGCCTCTGATTGGTCGGCGACCGGGGAGTTACCTCTGCTTCGAGACTCGCCGCTGAGAACACAACGGTCTATTTGCTTTGTTAACAATAACATTATTTTAAGGGTGAAAATATTGTGAACATATCTAAAGTTCTTCTGATGTAATACAATTAACAGTGAGCACATTTGTGAGTTTTATTTAATGGCATTCCGCACATTTCATGCCATAAACGTGTTCTTTTGCCTATGAAAATTATTTCAATTAAGTTCAATTATTTTAGTAAGATATAGTGCTGGTCCTAACCTTTGATCAGGTTAGAGCAAGACTGTCTTTATAGTACCTACACTTTCACTTTGGATAAATTTTAGTTTGGCTTTATGTGACAAATAAATAATAATAAGTAATTTTTGAAATCAATTCATCGCAAACAGCAAAACATACCAATAATTAATAATAATTCAACATTATTGAATTTAAATTAAATCACGTAGCTGAAGTTATTATACCTACTTCTATAAAATTGAGAGTTGCTACTGCTTAATAACTAAATTGCAATTTTGTGTTAATTTCAAATAGTCAAACATTAATAAAATCTATGTAAGTATTGTAATAGCTAATTCAAGAAAAAATTAAATGCCACGTTTGTTACATAGATCTACATTCAAATAAAAATAAATAGGTTTAATTATTACACCCTTGCTTCTTCAACATTACTAGTGCTCCTACCAACATAACTAAATTAAAATCAAAATCAAAATCAAATGTATTTATTCAACAAAGGAGCATTACACTCACTTATTGATAGTCAAAACACTACCACCGGTTCGGAAAAGAAAGCCACTGTACTGAGAAGAACCGGCGAAAGAAACTCAGCGGGCTTTTTTTTTAAATAAGCAGTTTGACATAAATTCGTTAAAATACAATATAAGAACTCAGATTGAACGAGCCTGGAGCGATCAGTTCATTACCAGTGTGTTATCATTTAAATAATCATTAATATTATAGTAGCCTTTAACACACAAACGTTCTTTCACTATTTTTTTAAATTTAGCTATTGATGCATTTTGATCGTTTTCTGGAATTTTGTTGTAATAACGTATACATTGTCCCATAAAAGATTTACTTATTTTACGGAGTCTACTTGTGGGTAGGATCAATTTATTTTTGTTCCTAGTATTTATATCATGAACATTATTATGTCTTAAAAATTTATCCTTATTTTTATTTTTGGCAGCAACAGTCAATACCTTTATCTTTTTAAACAAGTTTCTTAACGATTCAGATTAAGAGGTATCATCCGCAAACAATACTATCTCATGATTATTATTAACAAGATAAGGTAGATCATTTATGTAAATGAGGAAGAGAAAAGGCCCAAGAATAGATCCCTGCGGGACCCCATATTTACCAAGGCCCCGGGAGATCTCTTTCCATTTACGTCAACTCTCTGAATTCGATGGCTCAAGTACGATTTCAGAAGATTGAGTGCGGCATCTCTTATACCATAGTGGCGTAGTTTCCTGACCAAGGTCTCATGCTGTACACAATCGAAAGCTTTGGTTAAGTCACAGAATATTCCTAAGGCATCCTGCGACTTTTCCCAGGCTTCAAAAATATTCATAACGAGCTGAACACCCGCATCAGTTGTTGAGCGACCCCTAGTAAACCCATATTGCTTGTTATATAATAAATTGTGAGAATTAAAATGTTGATTCAACATGATTTTTTCAAAAATTTTACTAAGAGTTGGCAGTACAGAGATAGGTCTAAAATTATTGGGGTCGGAAGTACTACCAGATTTAAACACCGGAATGATTTTACTATGTTTCATAAGGTCAGGAAATTCGCCACGATTGATACAAATATTAAAAATAGTTGCTAGGTAAGGTGATATTACATCAATAATAGAAGTGATCACCTTAACCGAGATCCCCCATAGATCTGCAGTTCTTTTAACATCTAAAGTTTTAAAAGTTTTAACAATTTCTGTCTTGTTTACAGTAGTAAAGTTAAAGTTGACTTTACATTCCATAACATTCTTTTTTAGTAATGACTCAGCAACTGTCGGTGAGGAAAGAAGTGACTTGGTTGTTGAAACTGGAATGTCAACGAAAAATTTCTCGAAGAAAGTAGCAGCCTGTTGATTTGAGTTAATAGAATTATTATCATTAGTTAACATTAGGTCAGATTTGCGCTTCGTGACTCTTCCCGTTTCGCTATTAATTATTTTCCAAGTCATTTTGATTCTATCAGGTGCATTTTTTATTTTATTCCTAATATATAGAGATTTAGCAGAATAACAAGCTTTTTTAAATATTTTAGAGTAGGCACTAACATAAGAAACAAAACATTGACTATGATTGTATGTCCTTTCACTATAAAGTTCATACAATCTACGTCTACTAGTATGAATTCCGACTGTTGCCCATTCATCGAAAACTACAGAGCTTTTAGGTTTGACTGTCTTAGGAGTAAATATAGTATTAAATTCCACTTTAATTAAATTAAATAATATGTTGTAAAGTGCACTGGGGTTATCATTATAAGGTAGATACGTCAGCTTTTTTATTATATTACTTCTAAACTTCTCAACCCGAGTTCTTTTTACAGGAACAGCCATTATTTTTTGTACCTTAGCACTACTATTTTTTATATATGATTTAAAAGTGGCAAGTTGTCCGCAATGGTCTGAAGTAAATATATTAATAATAGACTTATATTACTTTGACAGGAAGGAATAAATTGGCAAGGTTATATGAATTTAACAATGATCTGAATCTAATAGAGGTGGTAGAATTTTCTAATAAATTTATATTAAAGTCACCACAGACAATAATATATTTATTAGACTCAGATAACTTCAACATCAATTCTTCCAAAAAGTATTTGTTGTTAATTTCAATCAGTCACTGTATACCAAAACGTGTTTACTAGTAAACTGAATCTGCTCCGCTTCTTTCAAAAAGCGTAAAAATCAAAATTTCTGAAAATAAAATTTTAAAGGCGCCTCTCGCTACCAGGAGCATAGAGGCCGCTACCATTGCATGCTCTACCCTCGAGCCAGCACCGGCAAGATATTAGGACCTTACAATCTTGTTTCAGCTAAATAGGTAATTCAAACAGCGTACCACTTAAAATTGTCAATAAAATAAAAATTATAAAATAAAACAATTGAAAAATGGAAATGTAAATTAATTAAAAAAAAAACGAAATAAGGATTGATCAGCCGATGTGCTTATACGTCTAGCTCATTCGTACGATCTTAAATATTATGTAATAATCTAAAATATTAATAATAATACATTTCTAAATGTACATTTAGTTGTAACATTAATTCATGTGTCATGTAATACTGTTTTTAATGTAACACCTACTGGCAGACCTAATAAATAAATAAAAAAGGCTCAGAACACTTTATTCTTTCTGTATTCTAAGGGTGAAGATGAAGGTGACTACTTTTTGTAATTAATTTAGACATGGCATATGATTTTATGGACTTATGAAGTACTGCCTGTTCTTATTTGTCAAGTATTTATTCCGATCGAAGTAATTGTGTAACTTGCATTAATTCCTTCTTAAAAATAAATTATAAATGACGATTTACTTAGAACGCGGCGAATCCGTCTTTTATTAAATAAAGATTTTTTGGTAATCTTTGTTACAATAAAGTGATGAATTTTGTACTTGACAGCGATTAAAGTTATAAATATATAAATTAATTTAAAATCTCAGGAGCTTTTTAAACAATAGATCATATAAATTCTTACTAGGCTATGCCTTGGAAATGGAAAAGAAGAAAGGAAAGAACTGTTAATTTACGTTTCACCTAATATCATAGACATAACTTGTAGTCTATCATCTATGGTCTTTGAGTTGAAGTCAAAAGAGGAACGGAGGACGCGCTTTCGGCATATTAATTATTCGCTATTTTCAAAATGGCGGACGGAGGCGTGGATATAGATTTGTACGCCGACGATATAGAATCTGATTTCAATAGACAGGTAAGAGACTGAAATTTACTTTTTTAATCTTTTTGACTTTAGTTTTAAATAGAACTAAACCTTGCTATTCAAGTACAATAAAATTCGGCCGGCTCCTTTTCAGGACGAGTTTGGTGGAGAGAATGTGGATCTCTACGACGATGTGATCGCTGCACCGGCACCGAAGCCCGAGGACTCGGATGGCCCTCCAAACTCTTCAGCTCCGCCGCACTCGCACCCACCGGAAGAAACTAACGGCAACGTTCCATATCACAATAGCGGATCAAACCATCATCATGGTCGCCGCTTCCAACTTTATGTTGGGAACCTCACATGGGTTTGTACATGATTTTGTTTTATTTAGTGTAATATTATTGTAAATATAGGTTTCAAGTTGTTTAAACTATTATTGTCGGTATTTGTTCCGTGAACATTTATCGATTTTATAAGAGCTGCCATTTTGTAATTTGGACTTGACGCTTCGGTGCAAGTAACTATACCTACCGATTTAATTCTTACTAAACTTGGGTTAAATTTTACTGACTTATATTTTCTGTTATACTCGTAGTTACACACGATTTAAGACGTTTGAAAGAATCAACAAAACTAAGTAAATTATCAAGTATAATATGTTAAATTAATTGTAACTTGTGTATCAAAATTGTATTACTATCTAAATATACTTGTGAATGGTTGATAAAATTAAACAAATTATTAATATAAATTTATCCAATAAACCTGGTCCTTGTTTAAAGTATTTGTGTAAACCTACTCACATGTTGTAAAATTATATCTAAGGTTGTTTTTTTCATGTTTTCCAATATTCCTTTTATCGAAAATTGTGCAATGAACATAATAGAGAAATGTTATACTGGGATGATTTTACTATAAAATAGAAGTACTTTGCACTAAATGTATAATAAAGTTGTATTAAAATAAATGATTTTTAAGTTTTGCAGTCTGAAGAATTGTAAAATTTAAGTGAATTTTGTATAAGATGTTAGTTTATTCCTAAAGAATAAATGTAATGGTTATGAAAGTACAAATTATAAAATTGCAGTTCTCAAATACCATATGAAATTATACACTTTTCATTTCATTTTATTTTATGGCAGACCAAAATGTGTTAACAAAAATGCTCACTACATAACTAAAAGTCAAATTTATATTTAAACATAATTCTTACCTCCAAATTAATGAAAATGTTTAAAACGTTTTTAAAGACTAAAAATTTTAATTAGGCAACCAATTTTATAATTATCAAACAAATTACTCTGAAAACATATTCAAAACATTTACATTAAGGAACAAAATTCCTGTATCAAATTAACACACTAAAACATGTCACAGAAAGTAGTAATCATTTTATGGACTGTCAAAACGGATAGCACTGTCAAAAATATGTAATGAAAAGAAAACCAGCATTATGATATTAGAAAATGTTTTGAGCTTTGAAACTTTGTAATATTAAAGCTGAACATGCTAATAATTTTTTAGCTTTGGTTTCATATGGTTCATTATGTTTGATAATGGTAGATGTGTTCTAAATGTTATTCATAATTTATAACACATCCACCGTTTTTGCAACAAGCAAAAGTTAATGTTAGGCTCTAAATATATACCTTGAAAAATGCTACACATAAGATTACTGCTTTTTTGATATAGCAAATAGCATACATTACAAATTATACCATGAAAATAATACCTAATTTAGTCTACAGAATTTAATATATATTGCAAATCGTTCATGTTAAAGAATAAACATTATACAAGTAAGAAATATAATTTTAGGGCTGCATAAATTATCCCATTGATTTTTGTATTTGAAAATCTGTCTTATAACATAAATCTCCTTTAGGTAAGATATGTCATAAAAGAAAAAATGTACATAAATGATATAGTAATGTTTATAGAAGACAATTTTATTTTTCAATGCTTTTATTATACTATTATATGTATGAATCTTCTGTTAATATTTTTGTAAGTGGGAGTATTTTTTTTTGTTTATAGTTTTACATGTGTAGATGTGTGTAAAATCTTTGTCGCATTGTAATTTACTAATATATAGTCTTAATATTGTTAATTAGTGAATTACTTCAAATTTTTTTGACTTCATTTGTAACTACTTTGTAGTATTTTCATGGTTTAATTAACATTTTGCTATATCAATAATAAGAAACAAAAACAAGATATTATTCTTACTGATAATGTTTGTATAGAATGCTATTTATCATTTAATATTAAAAATGTGCCATAAATGTGAACACAAGTATGCCAACAAATTGAGATTAGAACACAAAAATACTAATTTACTGGTTCTTGTTTTTGATTCAACTAACAATAGTATTTTTTTCTTTATGCATACTAGATCCATTTCAGAATTGTATTGAATTATGTGCCCTATTCCTATTGATTTGGAAACAACTAGATTAAATATATTTATTATTAAATGTGTTTCCTGGGTTTTAAGCGTAAAAGTCATGCTTTTTGAGGGAATATGTATTACAAATAAGTCTAATACAAAAGCTACATGCTGTAATAATTTAATAACATTTTAGAAAGTGGATATTATTTTCAGTTTAAAGTCTTTATTTTTTCAGACTTTTTTGTCTTTTTCTTTCATACCATTTATTTTTATTAATGAAATGTTTGTCTACTAATGGAATCACATAGCTTTAATGACCGATTTCAAGCAATGCCTTTGTTATTTTTAACAATAGTAAAATTACAGTTTAGCAATTATTGCATATAGAAAATAGTGATTTGATTTTTAATGAGATTGTTTAAATGACATAGTATAATAAATATTTTTAACAAGGCAATTATTTGATGTGTAGCCTTGCTTTGCTCAGTTATGTTCTAGTTTTGTTATTACTTTCTTCTTCATTAGGATATGATTATTTAAATTCATAAAATATACCCCCCCTTTTACTTGTCTACCTGAAGTATGATGTATGACTGCTGTATGTTAGTGATGTCTCTGTCTGCTGTGTTGATAGGGTTGTAATTTTATGTATTTATATACATTTAATATTGTTTAACACCATTTTTGATACACTGAAATTTTATGGCTTTTGTTTTTACATTACTGTCCTTGTATTGTTAAGGTAATTTTGCGTGTTTTTGAAAAATTCATGGATTGTTAACAAAAGTTAACAATTATTTGGTAGTCTGCCATTTATATTTATTGGTACCTATAGTCTAAAGTACTAGGAGACTATAAATTGAAAAGAAATTCCAAATTGTTAGAACCATGTAAACCAAACTAATTCTATTTTTCTTATCAGGTTTTTGGTGAGGTAAGATGTTTAAACTTTTTGTAATTAGTTGTGTGTTTTGTCTTCATTACTTTTACTTAATTTCTGTTTTGGTTGAATTTTAATTTGTTATTAAACATTAATGTGATGGCTTCAATTTATATGTTGGATTCTTGACTTTTGTAAATTTGTCTTCACCCATGTGGTTACAGGTTGTATGGTCAGAAAAGTAGTTATATTATTACATTATACATGTATAACAAACATGTCTATGGTTTGTTCATGCTAGTCAGTACAAACATGCCTTGTATATGATATTTGGTTTGTCTATGATTAACTAGTTCACAGCTATTGTTTATCAATATTTAAAGACGCCGGTGGAAGAAATGTATTCCTTTTAAACATCTATACGTATGCGGAAATTTTGTTATCGTAAATAAATCTAAAAATAAAATTCTAGTAGAGTTTTTGTAATTTTGCATATTAATATTGTCTCGCGTGATCATAATTATATAATTAAAATCATTGTTAATTCTAAATAAAGTTAACTTCAATTTTAATACTATATTAATTTTAATTAAAAAGGGCCAAGTAATATTAAGGGCAAAATTTTTTTTGGCGCTTCGCAATTTTGGATTGATTGTAAGTTCTAAATATTTATTAAAAGATTTCGACTTCGGACGACTTGTTCATTCTTTCCATAAGCATGATTTGTGATTGTAGTAACGTGGTAAAGACAAAATGCTGTGATAATGAAAATAAAAGAATGGTTACAAAACAAAACTGTTTCCTTTCCACCCAGCTACACCTATGCGTATAAAAAACTTCAATACCCGAGGTGCGAATTTGAATGAGTTTGAATGGAATTGTGCATGTGTGAGTTTTGAATGGCCTTCGAGCGCCGTCCACCCAACTGATTTAGGAATCGTTAAAATAGGACCAAGCAAAGTTATGTCATTCATTACCGTTTTCGCACAACATTTCAATGTGGTTATTCGCAAAGCGTTAGAGCCATTCGCAATGCACGATCCGATCGCGAGATTCGTAATGGGCCGACCGGAATAACGAAAGTCGTAGAGGCGTTCACACGTATGTATCGAATTGTTAGCTGGCCGCGTCGCGTTCGCATCACGCTGAGTTTTGGATACGACTTTTGCAGTGGGCAACGGACCAGGACATTGCGAACGCAGTAGCGGACGTCGGCGTCACCGACTTCCAGGACGTGAAGTTCTTCGAGAACAGGGCGAACGGCCAGTCGAAGGGCTTCTGCGTCATATCCCTCGGCTCGGACCAGTCCATCCGGATGGTGATGGACCGTCTGCCCAAGAAGGAGATACACGGACAGCATCCAGTGGTAACGCTGCCCACCAAACAGGTAATGTCGACGGCAAAGCTAAAAAAAATTTAACTAACTCAAGCTTAGCTTCCATCTTTGTGAAATTTACAGCTATACAGGATGATTTTTTAGACGAAGTACATACTTTGACATAACGTTGATTGAGCATTCCATAATTAAAAAAAAATATTAATATTTTACTTAGACAAGAAATATCCAGAAAAATATCAATTCAAACATTTCTACTATATTATATTTTCTATCTATCGATATACCCTATTGATAAGCGGTTTAGTAATTATGGGTTCAACGGATAGTTTTAGTGCTCGTAAATAAGTTATTGTATTGAGACGGTAAGGCAGGAATTTCTAATGTGAACTCCCATAATGTTTGAAGAAAAAAAAATTAGGTGACAAGTACGTACCAGATTCAGATTTAGAATCAAATTCTGCATATACAGGTTGGCTTTTTAAGTGTGTCCTGTGTTGTGTAATGTTATTTAAAAAATGATAAATATTTAAAATCACTCTTAATTAATTAATTACATTCAATTAAACTTATCTCAAAAAGTGCGTGATTTATACGCAACTCGTTTATTTTACGCGCGATCATTCATAACTAACACGCACACAAGTTCGTACACAGTAAAATTTAGGTATTTATGAATGACTACCGCATTATCAACATGTTCTGTTTTTTAGGGAATAGAAGGGCATTTTTTTTTTGGAAAAAAAGCTTTGTTTTTTATTTCAATAAACTATTATACTACCGAGTCTGAACCTCATGTGTAAATTTGGGCACTTATCAAAAAATCTCCCTGTAGATGCACTGTTAATATGTCCGTCGTCTATAAAATCGCCTTGTATACAATGGCCAAATGTTCGTATATTCTTTGAAACTAGCTGCCGTGTCATAACGATAAAATTTTTTTGTTAACGAAACTACAAATAAATTTACTGTTTTATTACAAAGCAAAAAAAATGTTTTTAAATTCTTTTTTCCGTTGACTTAAGTGCGTGGAATACATTTAGGGAGTTGTTGCTTTGCAGGCATTGAATCAGTTCGAAAGTCAATCGAAGACTAGGTCAACGCCACCGGGACCTAATAATCCTGGTATGAGAGGACCTCATCCCAGTGGGGGGCCACCCGGCCCACACCCTGGAGGTAAACAATTATATCAAGAGAATTATAACCATGCTGCGTCAGGCAGCTTTTTAAAATATATTTAGTCGCAAAACTAAATAAATAAATGAGTTTTTATTAACTATTCAATTAAAATATTTAATTGAGTTGTTAATAATAAGGAAGAAAAGACTAGTACACAAAGAATAGTACTTAAATGGAATGAGTCTTTTTTATTTTAATTCTTTTTTATTTATAAATCAATAGGAAATTTAAGATTTTTTTTAAATGTGAAAAGTTGTCAAACGAGCAGACGGCTCACCTGATGTTAAGTGAATACCGCCACCCATGGACATCTGCCACACCCGAGGGTTACAGATGCGTTGACAACCTGCTACCGATGTTTTGGACTCCGTGGCGCAGTTGTCAAGATATTGGCTTCGGCGTTTGAGGTCGTGGGCTCGATTACCACACGGGTCAACTATTTGTGTGACCCACAGATAATTGTTTTGCATCTGGGTGTTTGTTCACGTGCAATTTATGTTTGCAAAACTTCCTTACAACACAGGATACTGCCCTTATGGCAATGTTTGAAAAATAAAAATGTGTCATGACCATGAAGTTAATACTTTTGTGAAAGAAAAAGTTTATAATACATTTTTCAATCATAATGTCTATGATCCTGAATACCATCATGAACTGAGTTTACTCACAACGGGATATTAGATATACATACGTTTTATTTTTGTACTTTTTCTATGGAAGTGGTTAGTTCTTAATCTAAATTTTTGTTATGTGACAAACTGACAAACGAACTGGCGGTTCACCTGATGTTTAGTTGATAACCACTGCCCATGGACATTTACAGTACCCGCGGGGTTGCATATGCGTTGCCACTTTTTAATAAAGTGGACCCCGGCTACCTCACCCACCAGACGAAACGCAGAAGTATGACACTTCTACTTCAAGCCAGTCTTCTGTGTGGTCGTGGTACTAACCCGGACCGAACAGCCCATTCGCGCAACAGCGAACACTTGCGTGGCCCTATCACAGTTAAATCGGGAGAAAAGTTGTTCCGTATTTTGTACGTATGAAACTATTAAAATATCTGTGGTTGTAAATTAAATGTATGCCATTTTAGAAAAGAAAGATATAGAAAAAAGTAAAAAAAAAAAAAATTTCCCGCCATTTTCTAAATGATTTTGATTCTCTGCGTTTCAAAGCACTACACCGTTTATGATTACAACGTTATGTTTTACGTCCTAATGTCACAATTAACCAGGGCTTATTTTATCTTCCAATATGTATAATGTAGTGTTAAGATGCGTCAGGAATTAAATCATCATCATCATCATCATTTCAGTATGTTTAAGTCCACTGCTGAATAGGCCTCCCCCACAGACTGCCACGAATTACAATCCTGAGCCACCTGCATCCATCAAATTCCCGCACACTCACTAGTTGGTGTCACACTTCATCTAGTTGGGGTAGAAAGGTTCTCGAGTGGCATCCTCGTACTGGCCATCGCAGTGTGGGACGACCCCCCACTAGATGGGATGAAATAATTACAGTTAAAAATCAAAATCGCACGGAACTCTGTCTGTCGGAAATCTGTTATTTCACAGAATATGGTTCCATAATTCCATTTAGAAAAAAAAAACATTGATTTTCTCATTAGAATTTTTCGGGGGCGGTCCAAACGGGCCAGGTCCTAATGGTCCGAGAATGATGATGGCGGGCCCCGGGCCTCATCACCAATTACGCGGCCCACCGCCTGGTCCACACGGGCCGCATGGTCCCCATCACCTACCTCAGCACCAGGGTCCACCGCCGCATCACATGCAACACCAAGGGCCCCCGCCGCATCAAGGGCCCCCACCGCATCGGCCGCCAATGCAAGTAAGTTTATCGGGAAATATTTAAAACCGTTTAAGTACCTACTACTGTCTACTTTAATTTTTAGCTTCACATACCTACAAGGTCCAGACTACAAGTGAGAAAGCTAATTGGTTGAGAAAATACGCTTATTTAATTACTAATAGTCTTAAACTGTATGTAGTCCTGTAGTAAAAGATGTTGTTTGTTTTCTTATTATCCTGAAATATGTCTTTTGAGGTGTTTAAAAATACTTACACGTATGAAAAACTTAAGTAGTCGTTGTCGTTCGATAGTAAAACTTAGTTCAAACGATTAGTAAGATTGATGTAAAAGTATTATTATTTTGGTAAATCCTTCCAAATAAAACTTTGAAAATTTAATTAATTTCCGTTCAAACTCAACGGGAGAAGGTATAACAATTTCGAATTCCATAGATTGCACAAATGCGAAAAAAAAAAAACAGTTTCCGTTCACACCAATGACATTAACATATCAAGAGAGTTTATAATCGAAAATCTCTTGCATCTGGAGTATGGTCACGGTGAAAAGGAAACATCAGAGATGTTGCAAAAACTCTGGCACCGTTTTAAATAAGAACAGGGTCTTTTCAAAAGCAAAGTTAAATGTGAGAAGTATTAGTGTGTGAACAGCAAAAATGTGTGTGCAATGGCATAGTTAACGACGTGGAACTTATTGCGGTTCGTCTAGTTCCAGGGCGGGCCGCAGATGCAGCGCGCTGGTGGTGGTCCGCGCGCCGGTCCGGGCCCCGATTGGGCGCCTCGTGGCCCTCCCCACCACATGCAGCCTGCACCAGCGCCCCAATACGGCCCGCCACAGCATCAGATGCCCCATCAGATGCCGCCACCACATGGGGTCAGTAGCTCTTTGTGCTCCTTACGATCCGATACACACTTTTACAACACACCACATATTACTTCATTATATGTGAACAATTGAAACACCACCAAGTCTTCAAATAGTAACTTTCTAAAACTTTCTATAATGTTTAACACTGTTTATTATATACCTTGTTGATCCAATATTAAGTACACTTTGTATAGCATTTGTTCAGACTGCTTTGTTAGTTTTCATTGTTCGGTAGTTTTCATTGTTATATTTAATCAGCACAACCTAACAAAGGTTGTGCAGATTAAATATAAAGATATAACTGTGGTAGGGCCACACAACAGCTTTGGTTGTTGCATGAATGGGCAGGTCTGTCTAGATAAGTACCACAACACCTAACAGAAGGCGTGAATCGGAAGTAGAAGTGATGAGGTAGCCGGGGCCCACTTTATTATAAGGTGGCAATGCATCTGCAACCACATGTGCACTATGGGTGTTGCAAATGTCCATAGGCGGCGGTTATCACTTAACATCGCTAAGGTGAACCGCTAGCTCTCTTGCCACCTCACTTAAAAAAAAATCAAACACTCATGAAAACATATTTTGAAATCCCTTATGCTTGCTTTTTATATGGGGAATCAGGAGTGCATGGGCCAGCAGATTTAATCATGGTCATTGGGTCTATATAATTGTCTTTGTGATATAACAATCTGTTCATGAACATTTATTTTGTTTTTCTTTAGGGCAGAAAATGAACTTTCCGTGAATATGAGAAAATGTTAATTTGATTTATTAAATTAATTGGCATAAATCATTAAACTGAAGACATTGATATTTTTAACGGACAGCCTGGATTAATTAATAATACAGTTCACTGATAAGTGATGATGAAGCATCCATTAAAAAGAACCATGTTTAATGTTTAGCAGCCCCCCGGGCAAGGTCTTCCCCCACCGCACCATCAGCTGCCTCCTCACCAGGCTGGTCCGCCACGTGGACCAACGCCATTGCCACAACATCCAGGTATGTAGAAAAAGAAAAAAAATTACTCACTCAATTTTATGTAGATAAACAAGTGACAGTAGCTGGCATATCATAGTTGTTAAAATCATAATAATATAAAAGTTAATTAATAATTGTATCCAATTTTACCTAATATTGTAGAAACCGTTGGGTGCCCCGGCCCAGTCGCCGAGCGTCGGTCTTTTTTAGTTTATGGGACAAAAGATGCGAACTTTGTTTCTCTATAATAATGGATCCTATAATTTTTGCCATGAAGTGCGTAGTTTCAGAGATATCGGACAAAAACATTTTTCAAGTTGGCGTCTCAACCGAAATATGTCAGCATTTTGTTATTATATTCTCCTCGAAAGTGATCTTAAACCTGATAAAGTAACAGCATATAACTGCTGGGCAAAGGCCTAGTCTGAACAGAGGGTTGTTATTGTTTTCGCTATTTATACAAGGCAATCTGGTATAATAAATATAAAAGAAATTTTGTTCCTAATTACATAATTTGAGGGGGACTGTTTGTTAATTGTGAATAAGCAGAATTTACACGCGAAGTACAATTAAAGTGTGGGTTCAGCCGGCCGTTACGTTCCAGACGGATTCCCAGTGGGAGTTGGCCCAGGAGCGCCGGCCCCTCACGTGAATCCGGCCTTCTTCAGCCAGCAGCCGCCTGTGCAGCCTGCGCCGGGCGTTCAGCCGCCGCCGCAGCCAACTGTGCAAGGTATTGCGTCAACTGTGGTAGGAGCAGGCAACAGTCTTTGCTGTGGCATAAAAGAGCAGGTCCATCCGTATTAGTACCACGAGCTCACAGAAGACCGGTGTGAAGTGGAAGTTTTACACTCTGCTTTCGTCTGGTGAGTGTGGTAGCCTTAGTCGGGGCTCACTTTATTGAGGTGGCAACGCAACTGCAACCCTATGGGTGTTGCAAACCTTCTTGGGCGGCGGTTATCACTTAACAGGAGGTGAACCGCCAGCTTGCTTGCCACCTTCTGACATAAAAGAAAATAATTTGCCGGTTCTACATTGTCTGTATTCACCAACTTCATTCCTCATTTTTTCCTTCCAAATATTCAAAAACCATACTGAACAGATTTTTTTATAACTATTCTTTATTTCACTCTATTTTTCCTTACAATCATATTATAATGAAAAGGGCGTTGACGGTCACGGCATATGAGGCCATCATATGCTATGTGCAGCATAATTTGAAGTCTTCTTTCAATTCGAATCTTAAATATTAAACAATGGAACCAATTGTGTGCCAATGTATAATATTAATTTCTTAATTTTCTAGGCCCAGGAGCACCATATGGCCACCCGCCGCACGGTGCGCCACCACCAAATCAAGGGCCCCCACCACCCGGGGCTAGGCAGCCTTATGGAAGACCTCCACAGGTAGTGCTCATTTTCAATTAAAATTATCATATTTTATATAGCCAAATGGCTATGAAGGCTTGTTTTAGCCGTCGGAATATTACACCCAAGGAATATTTTCTTAGAAATTAATAAGACCTCTACGGTGACCACCTCTCACTACACCATTGAATATGTAAGAGTGGGGTACAATCGATATTATTTTGTCCCATAGAGCTATGGCGCGGGTGAGCCGCGCGGCGGGCACCACCCGGCGCCGATGACGCCCCACGCTCCCCACCCCCACGCTCCCCACCCGCACCCGCACCCACACCCTCACCCGCATCCGGTGATCAGCGACGCCGAGTTCGAGGAGGTGATGAGCCGCAACCGCACCGTCTCTTCAAGCGCGATCGCGCGCGCCGTCAGCGACGCGGCGGCCGGCGAGTACGCGTCGGCCATCGAGACCCTCGTCACGGCGATATCGCTAATCAAGCAGAGCAAGGTGTGTCTCGTGTGCCGCAATGTATGTTTTCAGTTTCGGATGGGGTAGTCGATGTATAGCTTGTCAAGCAGAGTGAGATGAGCAATTGTTTCGGTGGACTTATTGAGTTTAAATTGGGGATGGATTCACCTATATAGGCTTAAAATACTTATTAAGAAGCCCCTATTGTTAATGAGTAGGTGTAGGAATAAGTTACATAACTTTAATAATTGCGGAAGATTGCGTCTTCGTGTTACCGTGTACCCGGCGGATGCGACAGGAACAGGGTGCATCTTGGGTTTTTAAGTGGGTGACTGGGTCTGTTACATACCCTTGCCTCTTCCCCCTCCGATGAAGTGGCATTGGGATCCATAAAGGATTTTTTTTGTAAAAAAAAGTACTAAAGATCCTATAAGAAGATAGTAACTAATAATTTGGCGTTTTGTTTAATGAGTGATTTAAAAAAAGTAATGTATGTAACGAGGGAACCGAATATTAGCCTCGACTATTGTTGTAATCGCACATGTATTTGAGCCGTCTAATATCTAAACGTTCGCCATTACATTTCCAGGTGGCGCACGACGACCGCTGCAAGATCCTGATATCCTCGCTGCAGGACACGCTTCACGGCGTCGAGACGAAGTCGTACGGCGGCGAGCGGCGTCGCTCGCGCTCCAGGGAGCGGGACGCGCGCGCCCACCACCGGGCGCCGAGGCGCCGCGAGCGCTCCGCGAGCCGCTACCGCGAGCGCAGCCGCGAGAGGGATGAGCGAGACAGGTGATGCTTTTTTTTAATGGCAAAAGGAGACAACCGCGACCCGCTATCGCGAGCGCAGCCGCGAGCCGTATGAGCGAGACAGGTGATGCTTTTTTTTAATGGAAAAAGGGAGACAAACGAGCAAGCGTGTCACCCGTGATGGTGAGCGATCACCGCCGCACACATTCACAATTGCGTTGACGGCCTTTAAAGTAGGAGAAGAATATTGCAATGATTTAAAAAACAAACAATGCCCTTACTGTAGCATAACATGATGCTGTGTTGTAAAGAGTTTTGACGTACATCTTACATGGTATTATTACGTATAGTATTATTTTACGTGGAAAAACAGCCAGATTCGAAACAATTATTTATGGATCACACAAATAGTTTTCCCGTGCGGAATCGAACCCCCGGTACTGAAGCAAATACCTTAGTAACTGCGCCACAAAGTCATCATGGACTAGTCATTCCGCTGAAGGTGTTGCAAATGTCCATTGACAAAGGTAATCGCTTAACATTTGTGAGAGTGAATCATGAAGCTGAAGGTGTGTTTGGTGCATACAATAGGTCTTGGTCATTGATACATGGATGATTGTATTTTGAAGTTTGCATTAGACATGGTTAGAAAGTGGAATTGCAATGTTGTTACTAGGACTTTAAAGTTTGTTGGAACAAAAAAATAATATTGATTGATGGTTGATGTTGATGTGGGTAAGTTTCCCTAATTTTATTAACGGCTCATTGAAATACTTCAAGTTTGCTTTTACTCTGATGAATGTGATGACTGGAATTTCGTTCTTTCAAATCATACAATGATATAATACACATTGCACCTTTAAGATAAACTAAACTAATAAACGAAAATTATATTTTGCACAGGAGCAAAAATAAAAATAGTAGTAAAGTAAGTAAAATGTATGGATCTCACTTTTTGAATTAGAATAAAACATTGATTATATTTAGTTACAATAATTATATGGGATTTTACAGTTATTAATAACAAAAAAATAAAATATATTTTACTATACAAATTCAAAATCATAATTATATTAACAATGTTTTATTAAAAAAATAACTTCTAAATTTAATGTTATATGTTGTTATGTGTATATAAATATCCATCATTATGTCCTCAAAAGATGGCTCAAAGCACCTTGACCTTAAATTATATTGCAAAAATGTGGTGTATTTTTTCTATTTAGGCTTTTTGTGTTTAATAAATTTTCGTTTAGTAACGGTTTGTCTTTAAAGGTGCGACATGGTGTTGTAGATTTTCATAATTCACATTGTAACCAAGATACCATCTCCTAAAAAGAGTTATTCAACTACAATCCTTTTATATCACATTGACTTTAGGAACATAATGTGAGAGGCATAAACAATTCTCTTTCTTGCTTACTTTACCTAATATTAATCCTTCTGCGTTCATTGAAGCTTTAATAGTCTCTGGTCTGAATGTGTTAACATCAGTTAATACAGTCCTTATCATTTTGTTTCATTGTTCTTTGGATGTGAATGAGATTCGGATAGTTGAGAAATTTTATAAAATTGGTGAGTAGATGTATTTATTTGAAAATTTTATAAAATTGGTATTTGATGAAAATATACCTATTACATTTTTTATAGAGAAAAAGCTTAAGCACATTTAAAACGTATGCCATACTCGAAAATAAGTTGTTATGTGCGCATTTATAATTATCAATTCTGATATTGCATTGAAGAATTTGCTCAAAGTGAATGCTTCGTTGCAGGTATAGGGAACGTTCGAGGGATCGCGATCGCGAACGCGACAGAGATGCGTAAGTGTCTAGGGCTGACACTTTCCTATAAACCAAGCGATTAAAATACGCATAACGAAATTATTTTTACAAGTCCGAGTGATAAAAACCTTTCCTGCATAGCATAAACTCCAGAATCGATGACGTGATCGACGTTCCAGTTATCCTATCTATTGTTCCCAGCCCCGAAACTGCCTGTCGAATATCTCAACTATCCGTATCCTAATTCACGATGAATAATTTTTTTTGCATTACCGACCCATTTTCGAGACGTATTATTTCATATTGTGTTAAAAATAACTCTTTGTTATAGATATTACAGGGACTACCGTGAGCGCGAGCGTGACCGCTCCAGGTCTCGCGACAGGGAACGCGCCGACCACTATAATAGGGGACACAGTCGAGAAGAGCGGTAAGATATATACAGTCTGTAAATAAGGCCACAGTCATTCAAGTAATCCTGTAATAAAATAAAACACTAAATGATGCAACAAAGCTTATATTATTATCATTTATTTCAAATTACTAAGACTCATATACATCCACATTTAAAATTACATTTTATCATATTGAAAAAAAAAAATGAAAAAAAAAAAATCACAAGTATTACAAAATAACCATTACAAACATAACATACAATATAAAAAAATATTCATCCATACGAGGCCCACTTACCTTAGTCTCTGTGTGCAATGTGAAGTCCTCAACAGTGATTTATATTATATATGACATGATATTAACAACACATACTTAATGCATAAAATTACAACTTTTTGAAGATATACATTTGTAAATCCAGGTAGCAGCTCCTGCTGTAATACATAACTTAGCAGCCTCATCCAGTTTCTTATGTGCTGGGAGGAATCAGCGAATAAAGCATTACACACTTCTTTATAATCCTTACTTATATTATAAATTCGAAAGTTTGTATGTATGGATGGATGTTTGTTACTCTTTCACGCAAATATTACTGAATGGATTTTAATGAAACTTTACTATAATATAGCTTATACATCAGAATAATACATAGGCTATAATTTATTTACATATTTTATGTATATCTGTCTTTCTGTATGAATGTTACGCGTTCAGCCTATTCTACGCAGACGTAGTCACGGGCAGCAGCTAGTTATTACATAAAACGAGTTATATAATTTTAAAATTTCTCCATAATACATGTAATTCGAAATTACTTAATTTGCATTTTAGACCTCATTAAAAGTTTTATTAACAAAATAAAAAGTAAAAGTAAAGTAGCACCCTATATATGGCTGAGCAAAGGTCTCCTCTTTACAGTGTGCATCGATTGGTAGACTGAAAGTTTGTGACATCTTTTTTTAAATTGCAATAACAATTTCATTAGTGTCAGAAAATTTTTAGTACTAAAAAAACGAAAAAAATAAAAAAGTCTTGTTTGACATTTTGATATATGGTATTGGATTATAGTGTCAATGTATATTGGGTTCAGCTGTATGTAAAAAAAAAATACATTCCAGACCCCGCAAGTCGCCCGTGGAGCCGGCCGCCGAAGGGGGCGCCGGAGACGCCAGCGGGGCGAAGGGCCGCGCCGCCGCGGCGCCCTACTACGAGGAGCGGTACCGCGAGCGCAGGGAGCGCGACCCGCCCGCAGCGGACCGCGACCGCGACCGCGACAGGGACCACAGGCGCGACGCGAGACACTAACAAATGCCCCCCTCCCAAGGGCACGCCCCGCCCGAAGGCGTGCCTCCATGGGAGGCGTGGCCCCCGCGCGGCGTGCCACCAGCATCCATGCCCCTCCCGAGGCATGCCCCCCCCGAAGGCGCCCGCCCCGAAGGCGCCCCCCCCGAAGGCACCCCCCAATTCGGGCCCGCTGCGAGCGTGCGCGTCGCGCCGCCCCAGTTCGGTGCGCCCGTGCGCTATCTGCGCAGCCGGTTCCGCGCGGTCGTCTGCGAGCCGCAACCGCGCGAAGGCCGCGCGCTCACGTTCAAAACTGTCGAGGCGAACGTGCTTGAATGGTACACACAGCCACGCTTCAGTTAGTCACTAGTGCCGCACGATAGGTCAGATTGCGGAGCGGTTTATACAGGCACTGGCCGTTTGGCATCACGGACCGTGCTCGCCATGAAGTGACGGTCTAAACGCAGCACATTGGTGCCGATTACATTGTGAGTTATAAACCAGGAAGGACTTGATTCAAGTGTTTGATACGTGGACATCTACCATAAGCAAACATACAGACTAGCTGATTCTCGTGGTGCCGATTACATAAATGTTTGAGATATTTATTTCTATTTATAAACCAGAATATCTCTACTGTTGAAAATAAATGTACAAATATCTCTACTGTTGAAAATAAATAAAGCTATTGAAGTTTTATAATAATGTTACCAGCATTGTGTGCAAATAAATTGATTTCGCTATATAGTGCATACTTGTTCACACAACTTCATTCATTCATCACTTTATTGTGTTAAGGCGCATCTTTTTTACTATCTATACTTAAAAACATTAATTTCTTGAATTTGAATGAACAATATTATTAAGAATAGTCAACTTGTTTACTAATTGAGATGTATTGATAGATTGGTAGTAGAATAAGATCAAATAGTTTTACAAATTTCTGTAAATTGAATGGAATTGTTTGACATTCCAGGATTCTTATTACGTAAGTCATGACTTGTTGTTTGGGAAGTAAATTTCTAAAAAAAACATTGAATCCACATACTTTCCTGTTGCGTGTGTACTTTCCAGCAGGATATTAATTGTAACTAGTTTTAACGAGTAGGCGGTAAGATTTTCTAGTATGGAATGTTTCATACGAAATATATTATGACACTGAAATTTAGGTTTTAATTTGCGAAATAAATATATTAATGTACATTCAATGTTTTTTCATTTAATGTCAAGGTTGTAACTTTACATATGGCGCTGTCAGAAGTCGGACACTAACGGCCGGTTTCTGAATTGACCAGAATTATCTTCTAATGATCAGAACGATCAATCCAAAGAGTTTAACCATCCTTTTGGCAACTAAAATGAAATTTGAAAAGCTATTTGACGGCTGATTAGTTGACATCTACGATGATCAGTGTTTTAGAAACCGGGCGTAAGTGTTGTGACTGCATGCAGTTAGCCATGAGTTGTGAACTTACCAGCAAAACACAATTAAATCCCGTATTTCTAGCGCAGGAGAGACGTGTTCGTGAGAGGCTCCCACACCACAATTACTCAGACCTTGTGATTCCTAGAATATTTGATGTACGAATACCGGTGTGAAATGTAAGTATCGTAATATGGCGTTTCGACGGGTGATTGTCGTAACCGGGGCGGGACAACCTATTATAGCTGAACTCACAATGATACCAGAACCCCTGACATCTCAGTTCAGCCCGTAACGACGAATGTTGTAAAGTATTCGATACGTCGGGTGTTTCAAAATTGAAATAAATCGCGATGAACAAAGCCAATTTGGATTCTTAGGCAAAACGTGTTCACTAGTTTTACTGCGAGGATTGGAACCATGACGTTTACGTCGGGTGCAGATTCGATTTTGGCACAGAGTTTTCCTATACTGAGTTACGGTGGTAGGGCCCCGCAACAGTGTTCGCTGTTGCACGATTGGGCAGGTCCGTCCGGGTTAGTACCACGACCTCACAGAAGACCGGCGCGAGGAAGAAGCACTTCTGCGTTTCGTCTGGTAAGTGGGGTAGGCGGGGCCACTTTATTAAGAGGTGGCAACGTATCTGCAACCCTACGCGTGTTACAATTATTATACTTATTTATTTATTTATGTATTGTAATTTACCTAGGTGGCATCACCGCCGCCATGGACTCAGTGATCTGCAGCTGCTAGGTATTCTCTCTTATCACATATTCTCTGTTATCTTTCGGCAATCGCAGCTAGTTTATCCATGTCCTTTACTTCTGTGGCAGCCGGAACTTTGCGAACTGCTTGAGGCAAGTGACTACCATAAAATGCGTAGAGTTCCTTAGTAATTTTCTTCCGTGCCAGCTTGTGCATGCTACGCTGAAGCTCTGATGGTTTCCTGTGGCGCAAATTTCACTTATTGAAAAAAAATAATCGTGCTATGTCACAATGGTATGAAGACAACGGATAAAAACAATTAATTTAACTCTTATCAAGTCTGGTTCACGAGGGTCACAAATGGATGACTAGATGCTATGTGTACTTTTTTTTATTCTTTTAAACACATTGCCACCACTTTAGGATAACATTATCCTGTGTTGTAAGGACGTTTTACAAACATAAATTGCACGAGGACAAACACCCAGATGCGAAACAACTATCTGTGGGTCGCACAAGTAGTTATCCCGTGTTGGAATCGAACCCACGACCCCAACCGAAGCCAGTACCTTAGCAACTGCGTCATGGAGTCATCATAACTTTAATTTCGGGGTACTTCCTAGATTAGCTGTTTGGAAGTCTACTCACCTATATATAAATGTAAACATGCAGTGCTCAACTTCCAGTCAGATAACAGCTACCGATCGAGCCGAGGTCCGGCCCTCTCGGGCACCCTCGAATCGGAATGCTAAACGCGTGTTGAGTGAGATCCCCCCCCGAGGTCCCCTCTCGGGGACCCTTGAGCCTGATCACTCCATGGAGCCCCCGCCAAAGCGCCCTAAGAGCTAGGCGGCCTCCCAAACCGGTGAATTAAATAGCGTGACGGCCCGAGCCGAGGTTCCTTCGGGAGCCCTCGAGCTTAGTCACCATAACGCGTAATAATAAATACGCGAGGTTCAGGCTAGGCGCCTCGAGCGCCCGGCCACCTCAAGTCCGTCGGAACTGTAAAGGCCCCTAAGGCCAACAGTGGCTCATCAAGCCCAAAATGCTCAACTTTCTTTCTGCATTGAATTTTTTTCCAGATCTGGTTGAATATTCATAAGAATATTGTAGTAAAATGTTACGACAATCTTTCGAACAATTTTTTTGGATATAGTGTGTTCGCCTCTGCTTGATTTGCATGACACCGAAGGTGATTTTTAATACTTTGCAAATCAGGGGGTGGTGTTAGACATAAGTTTCACAACTTACATACACATACTGGTTACCCCCCGAGTTACCGTTAATTTTAAAAGTTATTAATTTTGCGTCCGATACGAAGAAAATGCTGATTGATCTTGTCTTGCAGTGTTGATGTGTTAGGGTTTTTATTAATTGATCCCAAGCGGATAGCTGCGTTGAAATTTGGATGATTTTAATTATCTTTCGTAGGAACCGGAGTTCTTTTGTAAGAAACTAATATGATGATTGGGGTTATTTATAGTGTATCACAGAATGCAGACTTCTTTGAACTTGTAATTATATGTTTTGGTTCGTCTAGTAATCATTTCAGACGACTTCCAAAAAGAAGATACTCAATTTAGTAGATTTTTAATGTTTGTTTCTTCAGAACTCCGGTATTTTTGAATTGATTGCTAATTGCCATTGACGGTAGCTAATTGGGATGGTGGTGGCTAAAGTCATCATTTAGATATTTATTTGTAAATTCTATTTCCGATAATACATATTACTTAATTAATAATTATTCATAAAATTTAAACATCATATATAAATATAATAAAAAATAATGTATAAATATATAGAATAAGATATAATAGATATAATTGACGGTCACGCCACCGAAAAAGAGGAATGGAATACAGTCTTCCATGAATATCCTATGTCAGCAACAATGTGAGATAATGGGCAGCAACCAATTGGTACATTTTTGAAATGCAATTCTAATGTCTTTCTGTCAAGATTTGAAAAAGTCTTTCGCTAATAGACCCTATCGTACATTCAAGAGTAGAAATAAATAAAGATTTAAGTGGAACGACGAAATAATGATTTATAATAAATAAAACCTAAAAAGCTACAAGACAAAATTCGGGATAAAAAAAACTGGTAGTTCCGAGTTCATAGGATAGTGTCTATGTAAAATATGTAGAAGGCAATAACATGTAGACATTGCGTCAGACAAATTAAACAAGGAAAAATTTAAATAGAGAAATTTTATAATTATAATAAGAACTTTTATATTTAAACATCTAATATCAGGTGGTTCAATGGACTTTTTCTAAAAATTCTACAGACCACTCAACAGCTTCCATTCTAAAATGATAAATTACCCTTTAGATAAGTTGCTTTAATTAAAAGTTGCTTGACTTCAAAACACACGAAGCGATTATTCGTTCATGCAATCGTGAAAGCTTTGTACAGTTTGAATTCCCTGTTAATGATCCATTTATATACCTTTAGTATACATAATAGTATATATCATTTATTATTTTGTAAGTAAGGTTTAACCTTACTTTTGTGAAAAGTTTGTCCGATTTCATATTTCAAAAATGTTTTCAAACAATTCATTTTAAATATTCTCATTCATCGTTCTGTTAAAAGAACTGACTTACAAACATTTTAATACGTAATTACTATCGCTAATAATATGTACCTACCCAGTGTTCCCAATTCTTTGGTTTACATAAGCTAGCAAAGCGTGTAACATTAATTTAACATACAAGAGGCTTAGTAAAGAACTTTGTTCGGGATCCGTGGAGCCGAGTGTTCAGACGTGATATGAATATTTTGAAACCTAGCCAATTAGGAGTTACTTGTCAGAGGTATTAATTCGGCTAAAGCGTCCACTTTCAGCCCGAATTTCAGGGGGGCAAACCGGGGCATACCCCACCCCGGGTGCCAGTTTCAGGGGGCGCTATAATATAGTTATTAAAAATAAAAAAACTTGCTCCACTAAGGGTTGGGCTAGTTGGCTCACCGTCAAGCACAAGTAGACGGTACTTATAAGAAATAGGCCCACACCACAAGTGAATTTGTGGCCTCGAGATGCCGCCTTTTTGTTGAAATTTACCTCATTTAGCTATAAAAAAGTCATTTCAAACATTTTATTTGAATACATTTCATTAATTTCTCTCTTTTAATTAAATATGAATTCGATTCTTTATACACAATTAGAGAGTGGGACACTAGTGTGACTGAAAGTTTTGAAATTGTGTCGCATCAGATTGTTGACAAC